CCTGCAACGGCGGCAACCGTGTTCCGGTGAGCCACAACGTGCAACAGATAATAGAAGTGACAGGTAAGCATCATTGACGCACCACGATCCTACCTGTGACGATGGCCTGGCCGGAGACGCCCCGAGCAAGTCTGGCCGCGTGTGTGCGGTGAGCTCGACGGTGAACCATAGCCACGTGGCCATGTCAGCGGCGTAGAGGCAGCTATAGGGCTACGACTTGGGTGCGCACGACAAAGAGGGGTTCTAGGCGGGGCTAGTGGTACGGTCAATTCGACGCGAGATGGCGAGGATGGAGCTGGCCACGGTGAGGCGAGCTGGGCCTTAATGGCGTGGTGGAGGGAGCAAAGCTCTAAAATTGGAGCTCAGCCGAGCCGCAATCAAAGTGGGGTAGGGACGGCTAGAGAGGGGACGTGAGGGCGGAGCAGTGGGCGCAACGAATTAATGGAAGGCGTCCTCTCGCGTTTAGGCCCTCTGGCGCGGCGCGGCAGCGGCGGCAGCTGAGAGGCGGACATGAGAGAAGCGGGTGGACGGAAGGTGGTGGGGACTCGGTCAGAGGCTCGGCATGTGCGTGCTGGGCAGAACGCGATTGGCACGACCGGGGTGGCCCATGTCCAAGCGCTAGCCGACGGCCATGCGCTCGCTACCGACGTGGCCCGCATGCCACAGTGCCATAAATGGCAAGGCGACGGCGACACGGCCTTGTGCGCGCGGCATCAAAGCGGGACAGTGACGCAGCGCGGTGCGGCGGGCAGGTGCGAGCGCGACGTGATGCGACAACAGCTGCAGCGGCTGCGTCACGGCATGAGGTGGGTCAGTGGCGCGCGACAGCGCGCGGGGTAGGGGTAGTGCCGCTCAGCCGGGCAAGCCACAACAACGGCGGCTCCTCGCGGTCGGGTCAGGGCGACCAGGCCGGCCACGCACGGCAGCACGCATGCGCACACAGAGCGCGCCAACGCCGCGACGGCGCGCCCCCGTGGCTTGGTGACCGCTCCCAACCCAGAGGGCTAGCCCAAGAACGTGTTGTGCACGGATTTTAATAGAGCGACTACCACTAAACTATTGCCTCTAAACCGAAACCGACTTTACCACGATCAAACTGATACATGAGGCTGCTCAACCGAGCTAAAACACCGCATCACCCTCTAACCCAATCTCTCTAAATAAATTGCTAAACTTAGCAATGTCTGGCTGTTGACAAACTTGAAAATTTTCTAAGTTTTGAGCTGAATTTGATTTCAATTTGTGATTTCTAAGCTATTGAAAATATTAGCTAGTAATATCATTTTTCGACAGCAAGTATTTCACTGTCATCTACAAAGTTCATATTTCAAACTTTATTTAAGTGTCACACACATGTTCTATAGTATTTTTGCTTAATAAAAATTGGTTTTAAACCCTACTTGTTATGCATGAACTATTGAATCAACTTTCGTTTAGCATTTTTACTGATCATTTTGAGTTACAGAAATTGATCTACACACTTTATCACATGCATTAACACATAAACATGATGCTCGTGACATGACTTAGTAGTTGGTTTATGGCGTAACACCGAGGGTGTTACAGAGCCCAAGCAAATAGCCTTTAGCCCCACTCGACGATGCCGAATGTAGCCTCAGCGCCTCCTAACAGCTCTGCAATTGAATTTTAGCAAATTTTCTAGCCTTCTAAAAGATGTATGTTAGTAAAATTTCTAGCCTACAATAATTTAGCCCCCCTCCTAACCCATTTCTGAATCCGCCACTGTTTAGTGCCAAAGGCACTTATTCTTCAGTCTCTTTATAAAAATTATTGATTTCAGAGACATCAAACCGGTTCATGTTTCTGCTATATTTGGAGCATTAAGATACCTCCTAGGGTCCATATGTTCCTGTGGTTGCTGATTAATAATAGAGTTCTTACCAGAGATAACCTAGCTATAAGAGAAAAAAACTAGAAGATGGGACCTGTCTTTTCTGTGCTAAAAAAGAAACTAGTCAGCATTTGTTTTTTATTGTGTTGTTGCTAAACGGTGCTGGGTTCTAATTTCTGAGATTATAGAAGTTTCAGTAGGTGAAAATATGGTTAATATAGGAAAGTTTTGGCTAAGTAGTAAAAGAAATGGTCTTTTAAACATTGTTACCTCCGTTGTTCTCTGGTCGATTTGAAAACTTAGGAATGAGCTTTATTTTTAGAGAACTGGCTAGAAAAGTATGGATGTTCTTCTCTACAGAATTCATGGAAACTTAGGAATGAGCTTTATTTTTAGAGAACTGGCTAGAAAAGTATGGATGTTCTTCTCTACAGAATTCATGGAGTCTTACGGAACTGGACAGTTCTGTGTCGTGTGGACAAGAGGGAGTTGTTGAATGTCTTTTTGAGGGAAATCAAGTCTGCGGGGAAGATGGTGTTATGGCTCCTAGATATCCCCAGGGACGGTGCCTAAAGCTTTTCAGAGTAGTGGATGCTGACGGCCCGGGTGGAGAAGTCCACGCTGCTAAAGCTGTTGTGAAGTGGGCCCCGGTAATGTCTTGGTGGGGGGCGCGGAATGAAGACCTTAAAGACATGTAATAGGCTCGGTTAGCTCGACCGTTTTTTTTGTTGTTGGTTCAAGCGTTAGACCTTTTGTTCACGTTTGCTGTCTCTGTTGGTTATGTCCCGCTGCCAGCTGGAGCTAAGACCACTTTTGGATAGTTTTGTGCTGTAACAGATGTTTGGTCTTTTCATATTAAGGGCGTCCTCGACTAGCAGTTGCAAATCACCAGCCGATTAGAAATAAAAAAGGAAAAAATATCCAGCCAGACGGAGTGTTGGCCATGTAGTCAGAGATGGTGAGCGCATGGGGGCATGGGGGAATGTGCGAGCTAGGCTAGGAGTTGGTCGCTGGTGACTGAAGTTTTCACATCCTCTCTCCATCCATGTTGGCAAGTAGCTAGCGACTTGAGCCTTGTTGGGGACGCCCTAATTGAAAGACCGGGGCGTCCTGTCCTTGAACTCTAAAAAAAATGTTTGCATTGTTAGCGGCATGCACCTGCTTATGTATAAATAGCTACACGGTATAATCACTACATAATAGTCAAGCATCCCCTTTCAATATCAAAGATGAAATCGAGGATCAGTTTCTGTGAACAGAGTGGCATGCATTAGTTGTACCTTATCACTCTGTATGCCGCTATCAGTGCGTCGTCTTCTCGTGTTAATCGCTTGCACCAACCAGGTACCAGTGCTATCAGTGTGGCACCAACCAGGTATACCGTGATCCAGCGAACAAGAACAACCAGGAGTCAGGACGGCCGGGCCATGGCGGCGGGGACGATGATGCGTGTGACAATGAAGGTGGGCTCAGACGGCGTGACGCTCATCACCATGCGCAACCCGCCCGTGAACGCCCTGCACCCCGCCAGTAAACCACGCCAGCTTTTCCCCTTCGCCTCCATTGCTTTTCGACTTGTTTCCTCTGCCTGATGGCCCCGTCGTGCTCCCGGCGGACTCCATTGAGGTCCAGGGAGGTACGCTAGCCACGGAAGGCAGGCGAAGGAGGTAGCATGGGGCTTATCTCTTCGCTGAGGCTCCTGCCGTCAACGAGCATATTGTAGAGCTGGAGCCCCGTGACGCACCAGGGGTGTTGTTGCATGAACTGCTGGAATCATCTACAGTACATTTGTCACCGGAAGGTGGACCTGATGAGGATCAGGCCCACCCATAAGTAACAAATGCACATGTGAATTGACTGTGGGTGAGTCTAGAACGTGGATTCCATCGTTGTTGTGCTGCATCCGTTGTCGTTGCATAGGTGAAGGCCGATTTTTAGTGTACCGTATCGGCCCAATCAAATTGATTGATTGCGACAAGGACAGGACTGATAGATGAGGTGGACGTCAATTCGATCCGTTGCTTTCTCTTGTACTCGCTCCGTCCCATAAAAAACGACTTGGTCAAACTTTCTTAGGTTTGACTAGGTTTATAGAAAATATTAATAAACATTTGTATCTTCAAATAAGTTTATATTATGAAAATAAAATCAACAACCTATCTTAATTATGTACCATAAATATTAATATTTTCTTATATATATTTGGTTAAAGTTAAAAATATTTGACTTCTTAAGAAACGAGAATAATATTTTTTGTGGGAAGGAGGGAGTAGGTCATTTCTGCTCGTTGGGATGTGACCACCCCTTTCACTTTAATTTGTCTATCTATTGGTATTACTTCAATCATAACAAATAACATTCGGAATTACTCGTTCGCAGTCTCCTGCTATATTGAATTGGCGATCCACAGCTGTTGGATGAAGATCTAACGGGTGAAGGAGACAGGCCCAATTCCAATAACATTTTGGATTCTGTATAGTTTCCATGATAATATTTAACAGTATAAATTTCCACCATAAGATTCAAACAAACTTGTGAGAAGACGGAAAACGATGCAGCATGTCACAAGCGATCTGTCATGATTTAACCATCCTTTAGAATTACAGAAACAGTTCCTCAACCGGTCCGTGAATGATTTTTTTTTCTTATTTTGCAGTTAAATAAACTACAATGTTTCAATATTTCAGCTTCGGAGGACAACTATGTACGCCAAAACCAAAGGATACAATACAACTGCTGCTACTTGTTTGCCGCGGAGAATTAAGATTATGTGCATGGAACGGCTTCTCTGTTTCAGAATACAACTTCACATAACATGGCAACGTATTCACATACTCACAGCCTTTTAACTGAAGATTATTTTCAGTAATCAAATAGGGATCAGCTTTACAGAAAACCAGAGTCAGTCAACTCGAGCATCAAACAATGAATTATCATTTATTGAATTACTACATAAATGCAGCAGGCCTGTTTTTCTGCCTGCTACAAAACGACTCATGAATGGTTGTCCTGTTCCTACAAGGCCGGTTGCCAGATATGGCAACAAGGACTATACTATCTATCTTGCCCAATGCCCATCTATGTACAGAAATCATTTGCAGTGCAGGCGTCTTGAAATGAAGAGGCCGAATTCTGTACCTAGTTTTATTTAGCTTCCAATGCTATCTTTCGATCCACCATTTGGTGTAGGTTGTTGATTAGTTCTTGGGGTTTCAATAGTGCTTGAAGAAGGAAAGTTTTCTTCAGCTTCTACTGCAAACAAAGCAGGTGGTGCTCCATGATGCTGTCTGGCATCCAATTCCATTGCTGCCTCTAATGAGGATTGTTCTGCAACATAAGCACCAATGTCAAAAATGGAAAGCTCATTTGAATGTAATCATTAAAAGGACATGCATTTGTGGGTATAAGAAGCTGCACCTACTCAATTTTCTATAATAATGATAAGCATATAATAGTTGCATGGGCCCAAATATTCAGAATTTCTTAGTTTTCGCGGAGGACTAGATCCAATAACCGGTGGTCTATGGTAGAGCGAGAAGTACCGGTTTCTAGGATCTTGGTTATTAGAAAGGAAACAATAGATGGATATATGGAAAAGCATGGGACTCATAGCTTCGGTTGATGTTACCAGGTAAAGTAACAACCTTTTGCATAAATATTTCCAAATTCCATCAATAAATGTTGCGATTAATGAGTGCTAAATTAGAGTCGATTTTCATATATAGGGAAGTAGTCTAGCTCCTGTTTCCAGATGAGATATTCTTTCAGATTTGATGAATCTTAAATGGTCAGATTTTGCTGGCTTAAATGTCCCACAGTAGCATTGCATCCACATGTAAAAAACTGAATGACACATTTTATGAAGGCCACAGCAATAAGAGACTCACCATTTGTTCTTCCACGTTTGATAATTTCACAGAGATACTGTCGTAGCCCAGTCAATACTAGGTTTTCTTGCGCAGCATTTATCTCAGAAATATCTTGATCACGCGAAACCAAAGGAAATGAACTTCTATAATCATTTCCAAATGTAGTATTCTGTTCTTCACACAGTAGTGCTTGTGTTGTTGGAGATGCAGGCTCATTTCCAAATGTGGTATTCTGTTCTTCACACATTAGTGCTTGTGTTGTTGGAGATGCAGGCTCATTTCCAAATGTGGTATTTTGTTCATCACACATTAGTGCTTGTGTTGTTGGAGATGCAGGCCTAGAAACATTCGAAGTTTCAGACCAATGGGAGCCCATTTCATTGATGTTCGGTTGATGACTAAATCCTTTGCTAAGGATGTCCGTTGAGGAGGCTTCTTTGAAGTCCTGCTGTTTGCAGTTACCATTGTTTAACCCGTTATTTGACTGGAATCCCTTCTCTTCTGCAATCAAATCAATTTCATTATCTGTAAATACAAGCAACGGAAAAAAAATGTTAAAAACATATCTAGGGTTATGACAATTAATTGATGTCACTTGTATACAATATACATCTTGAACACATAATTGTGAGGTCAAAGAATAGCATAAGATGCCATATGTTCTCATGTTGATCTTAAATTATGACACTATGATATTTACCAATATTATTACTTTATTCTCTCTTTTGCGGAGCATATAACGCTCAAAGCTTTGGTCCAGACTGGCTCTGCACTTCTAGTTAACATACGTGAAGTTTCAAGACTGGAAATAAATATGGTGGGAAGGCTAAGGAACTAACAAACAATCTGAAAATGCTGCTAGTAAAGAAATTTGAATAACTTGGATTTGAAAAAAGGGACAGGTGTGTACGACTGGGTTAGTGGCTTAGTGCCTTCTATGTTTCATGCCTTTCTTATTGCCAATGCACAAAACTCTTTCACTGATCTGTAGTACTTCACCTAGAACTGATGCTTATGCAAATCTTGGGTTCCTTAAATGTTCATAAAAAAGAAGGAATAACGGACAGACTCTATACCAGCTACTGTTGCTGCAGCCATTCTGCAAACCATCACCAATTGCTTGACTAAATCATGGACCTCCCTGAGGTGGATGGTGTTTGCTAGTGGAGACCTGATAAAACATTACATCTCATCAGAAGGTACATAGAGTAAACAGAGAGGAGAACAAAATTGTTTGTTACTCCCTCCGTTCCAAATTGTAAGTCGTTTTGACTTTTCTAGATACATAGCTTGTCCTACGTATAGATATACATTATGTTAGATTGTAAGTTTTTCCACCCTCCAACAGCTTCTCTATATCTCTATATCTTGTGCGCACTCTAGAGAGCCAACGCTCTTCATCTTTGGCTAGCGAGAAATCTAGAATAGAGAATGGCAACATTTGGAGATCTAATTAAAGAAGCTGTTGGAGAGCACTTTTTTCACCAAAATCTCTATTCCTATCAATAAGGAAGGATATAAAGAAGCTCTTGGAGTTGCTCTGAGGGGTAGTGCCCTCCAGGATGGCACCAGATCAGACGAGTTTTTTCTCCCTTTATGAAGTAGACCAAAGGACCTAGAGCACCTTTTGTGTTGGTTGGCTGGGCACTTAAGTAATTCCATGTCCTTAACAGGACATCAGCTTATTTTGATCAACTCTTGCATTATTTAAAAAAAGGCTAAATACATTTCAACCTACCTGTAGATTGGGTTATTTGATTTAGAATTGGCAGCATTGTGTCTATCAAATCCTGTGGAACAGGGTGCAAGCAGTGAAACATCTGCATGGTTACCCTAGCACACAAGAACAATCACAAAAATAACAGTTAGACAAGTAAATAAGCATTTGTCAAAAAATATATCGTAGAAACAAAGATAATGAAAAGAATGGAACTGCTAGTGTCCTGCAGCAGAAGCATCCAAGGAATAGTGATGCCAATAACAAGAAGAAATTATCTTGTTAACTCAGTATTTGGTTAAATTCCTTTTGCATCTCAGAATTCATGCATCATGCATGCAGTGTATTTGGTGCTGATCAAATAGTTTGGAAGTAAGAGAACATACCTGTTGATATTGTGTCTTTGGCATGCTTCCTTCAGAATTTATCCTAACACCTAGGGCATCTTCATGGGATCTTTTTCTACTCAGAGAACAGATATATCCTGATGATCCAACAGTACCATTGAATGCTACATTAGCTGCTTGTTGAATGTGATTTCTGTCAGATGCATGGTCCCTATGAATTGAAGTTTCTGTGTCTTCATTTCCTTCAGAGTTTTTACAGTGCATGCATCTACAATTTTTGGAGCAAAAAACATTTGCTTGGTAGCATTCACAGTACTTCTTTAGGCATCCTGACTTCTTGCAATGACAACCTTTGTGGTGCTTTGCTACAAGAGGCACTGCTCCAGAATTATCCTAATAGACAATAGTCAAGTAGTACAGTGGTCACATGCAGCTCAAGCAAAGAACTAGAGTGTATTGAGGCATCAAAAAACAGAGTGTATTGGTTGGGAAATAGCACAAATAAATACAGATTAGGCTCATTTCAGAATTAATTTCAGAAAACAGATAAATATCCTGCTAACTAATAGAGAAAAAAAGACCTAGGAAAAATGAAGAATATATTAGCCGTGTAGCATGGATAAAGACCTGAAAAGCTTTCCTGAAAATATTACCTCAAAAGCTTTATTTGGATAGTATCGGTAAAGCTTTTCAGGCTAACTAATATCCAGCTTTTCAGGCTAATTTGGATAGTACTGTTAATTCAGTAAGAATATATTACATTGAGGAGAAGAAAATGAAATTAACTTGGACTTCGACCAGATGCTGCCTGTTGATCATTCAATTGCTAGGAATGCTAGCTAACAGCCAGCATCTAGGAAAGATCAGCCAGCCAAAATGTTAGCTCAGAGGATGTCATGCCCATTTAGTTCCAAGTACAGTAGTAAGCACAATGTGCTAAGGAAACAGAGTTACTAATGAATATGCTATATAAATATCTGCATTACCTTGCTTTGCCTATTTCATTGATAACTAGCAGAAGAACAATCTATGTCAGTAAAAAAACTAAAATAAATTGCCTCTGGAACAGATAGCGGAGACACATGAACTGCTATTGGGTTCAGATAACATAATATGATTGTACCAACATGTAACTAAAGAAAACTATTGAAGGATAGTACCTTTCGAACATTGAGTGTATTTGGGCCATTTTCAATTTTAGGTTGAAAAGCAGACGGGTTACGTTGACGAATTGCCTCAATTGCTTCGTTTCTGGCATTCTCATTCCCAACAATGTTTCCACAATTTGAACAGTTGCATCCATCACAGTATTGAAGTTCTTGAAAGCATTCACAGTACCTAACAAACAAACACAAAGCCACCGAGCTTAACCTTTAGTACATAGCATAACATGCTATATAAAGAAAATATTCAAATAATTACAGAAAAGTGCAAACTAATATTACAGCTATTAAGAAAAAATACTTGAGATCACCAAACCAAAATATTAAGGTGGGAATAATAGGAATAACGGAAAAGTGGGTGAGAATAGAAAGTGCAAAAGAAATAAAACTACAATAAGACAAAAGGCAACTGGTTTTTATTCCATAAACCAAAATCTAATGTGCAGATATGTTTGTCCACTAACTAAACAAGACCATATAATTTATCAATTTATGTCTCATTAGTAAAGAGAGCAGAGTGCTCTCAATGGTCAATGCTACCATAGTACCAGTTATACCATCCTCATTGAGTTCCTTTCAATACTCGTAAGATGATAACAAATTATAGCTAAGAATGGATATCGTTAATGTTTGATGGAGATCCTACCATTTTGCACATAACATGTAAAAGATATCTATTTTCACGAATTTATATTTGCTTTGCGCTATACATGAAAGTGTATGTGAAACAAAAAATAACACTCACATCTTCAAACATTTTGAGTTTCTACAATTACAATGCTTCTTTTTCTTTGGAGTAACACTTTTCACTTCTGTGGAAGGCTTCCTGCAAAAAAATAGGGTTCAAAGTTCAATGCAAGGAATATGTTTCCAGCAGTATGCTCTTTTTTTGTTTTTCTAAATGTAAATGAATCATATCACAAGAAAGTAGAAACACAAATTTCTGTAGGACGACATGCAAGACAAGTTCTGATCATTTATGTTGACAACATTGAAGAATATAACACTTGATCTGCAACAGGCCACACGAAGCAAGAACAAAACCACATGCAAACACACCAACAAAAGGGAAATAGAGAATCTCAAGCGGAGGAGCTTCCTCACAGGGGGTTGAAGGCTATCGGCCACTGTCTAGGCGCCGGCATCACGGGGGCCGCCGGCTTGGGCTGCTGCGAAGACACCGCAGGAGCCTTCGTCTCGCTCGCGGCGGCCAAAACAGGCGGACTCGACAGCTGATGCTGATTCCTCCCCTGCTCCATCACCCCCACCAGAATGCCACAGAATTAGGTCACAGGCCAGAACGCCGAGGCGGGTTCAGCTGGACCAATACCGTCGCGCACCGGCTCAAAAGCCGAATCTTGCCGCGCGAGCTATCTGAATTGGATGAGTCCTTTAACAAGGGCGAGTTCATAGACTCATGCAGTGTCCAAAACTCAATAAGCCGCGGGAAGCCGGAGGGCAATAACGGAGCAGATCGAAGGAATCGACCTCAACAAGGGAGATTACGAGGGATTAGATTTATGGAGATGATAAGAGGAAAGGCAAAATCTTTCTGGAGTTTGGGATCGAGGAGGGGGTGCTGCTGCTGGGCTGGGGGAGAAGAAGCTACGACGGGGCAAGGCAATGGAGGGGAGGTAACTGTTTATAAATTTTGAGACAGTATTTTTCTCTTAGCAGTTTGAGCCCCGACCGAACAATATTTTTCTCTCTTCATGATTTTTTTTAATCTGAAGTATTTTAAGCATTTATTTACTCTCTTATTCTCTTTATTCTCTCTTTGCTTCCCCTCCAAACTCTGTACAGGGGAGAGGATGATTTGAATTGGACGGATGGATTTGAATTGATTTGAAAGGTTGGACGGCTGGGGGTTACCGTGGCTAGGCTTTCTTTGATTGTGGTCCCATTAAAATTTGAAGTTTGATGAAAGCGATAACAAGGACATAGAAATTGGACTGGTTTTGAATAGTCAGGCTTTCTGTTGCAATAATGGTGCTCATTCTTCCCATTAGTATTCTTCTACTAGCATTACCTCTTTTTTTTCCATTTTTTACCGCCTCTTTCTTGTTTTTAGTTTTTGGTAAAAAAAATGTGTCTTTTTCTTCCTTTTTGCGAATACTACCTCATTCATTTAACTTTATGCTTTTTAGTTTTATTAGGCATAATTAAAAAACTTGAATCTTGTCTACCTACTACTACTCGGTGACTAACCACGTCGCTTAATAGTGCATTTGCCTTTCATAACTCAAAATTTTATGACATTTATTGGTTGATGATTAATGATCCTTATGAAGATTTATGGGGGATAGAAGTTAGAGCAAATTGGTTCCTTGGCCCTAAAAAAAAGTTCTGCTGAGTTCATTGGCCATATTTCTGTTGAACTTAGTCATTTGGCCTTGAATCGAATTTCATTTTAGAATTTGGCCCTTCGGTTAGTTTCACAGGTTGATGGTGGTGTTAACAGCAAGGTGAAATGATTTTTTTACCCCTGGAGCGAAATGAAACATTATGTAATGTACAGTAGAGTCGTACATGCATCTCAGGCTATCTATTATCATTAATCTTCCAAAATAAGTAAAATACTTTTTCAAACATGAAATTATTATATTTCATATATATTTACCCATGACATCACAATGACCATTTCAAATGCATATAAATCCACACTCCAAGTGCACACGTACATAATGATTTCAAACAAATGGATGAAAACATTAAGGCGATAGGTTCAGGTCATACTTGAACAAGGTTCGCACATACAAGAGATGTCTAAGTTCACAAATAAGTTCACATTAACCAAGTGAAGCAAGCATACAGTACATGGCATCAACACATGAGAACATGCATATCAAAGGCTAAGTCTTCTCTTGATGTACTCATTGCAGGGCTTGGTGGTTGTATTTTTTTTTCTTCTAGTACCCATGGAAGGGCTTCAAGCGGCACTGATGAAGTGTTAACATCCTTAGTAGTTGGCACTTTCTTCTTCTTTATGGGTTTCACCGTCTTTGTAAACTTTAGCCTTTACATGTTGTTCCATGTGTGAGGGATACTCGATGGAAAGTGCTTCTGGTTGATTTGAACCACTTCTTGACCTTCAAACATTCATTTTCAGCTGCAAATATTGTTAGTTTAATATACAATAGTCAAATGGAAAAAAATTAGATTTAGAAAAAATACCTTTTTGATAGCCCATAGCTAAATTTATTTGTTTTTCCCTTAGTCTTACTTGAAATCTCCAAGCTTTGGCTATGATGATAGAGGGCATCTATTTAGTTTCCTAACCAAGTGGCCGTTAATAGTAATACAAAATTTCAGCACTAGTGTTAATTACCTTCTAAATGCTTCGGGGGTACAATCATCGATATTTCTCTTTTTGCTAGTTGTTGTTTCCAAGTTTTGACTAGAGGGGCAAAGTCATATTTAGAATTTATGACAAGTTTCAAACAACAATTGGAGGAAGTAATAAATTGCAAACCTTGGTGGAAAAGACATGGATGCAGCCGGTGCATCGTCCTCCAAAGGAACAATAGAACGGTGGCCAGATTTGGCCCTCTTCTTTGTTGAACCCCTACAAGAACAAACCATCAAATCACTATGTTTTCTAGAAAGAAAAAACATAAATGATAGTAAGAGTAGACACATTTATCACCTCATAGTAAGAGTAGACGCATCCTCGCCCTCCTTAGCCTGCCCCGTGTCAGCCTCATTCGCGCTGCCGGCAGCATGCTCCGCGGCGCCCTGGGTCGCGTGGCCGGCGGCCTGCTCCGCGGCGCCTTAGGTCGCGCGGTAGCCGCCCAGACCCGCGGCGCCCTGCCTCACGCCGGGGGCAAATAGCCCCGACACCAGCCGGGCCGCCCTTCTGTGCCACGGACGAGGTGGACCTGGCACCGGCGCAGGTGGATCCGCCGGCGGAGCCTCGTCGGAGCCGTCCATCTCTAGCGCTGGTGTCTAGGGTTTGCACGGAGGTCGCCCAAAATCCCGACACCTCCGACTGCGGATCGACGAAGGGGTACGGGGAATACTCACGCGCATGTGCGAAAGGGTACGGGGATATTTTCGTCTTTTCGTGCACGACCCCTGATCTGGTTGACGGTAGAGATGGACGGAATGGACGGGAGGGCTAAAAAACTAAACAAATTTCGATTTAGGGCCAAATAACTAAGTTCAACAGAAATAGGGCCAATGAACTAAGCTAAACCTTTTTTAGGCCAAGGAACCAATTTGCTCTAGAAGTTACATTTTACCCTTTGAAAGGCATACCAGATATATAACTAGGAGAAGTATGATACAGAAGTTCAGGACAATGCGAAATAAGTCTGCTAAACACATGGATATTTGCTGCTAACGGTACAATTATTAGGCTCATTAATTATACTTTCTACGATTCAAGTCCATTAGAACATGGACACGACCTTCGGATATAACACTTCAACACATACGCCATGTTCGTTTGAGCTTGTTTGGCTGATAAGCCTTGGCTGATAAGTCATGACTGAAAGTACTGTTGACTGATTTGGTGTGAGAGAAAAATAATATTCGTTGACTGAAAAAGTACGGCTTATAAGCCACACAAGCCCAAGCGAACAGGGCGATAATATTTTCGAAAATAACATCAAATAAGAACCGTTACATATATAATAAAAGTATGCTTCACTATGATAGCCTTAATCATATGTTTTTAATCTGTATGGTATTTTAGACATTGATAGTCAAAGTTGAAAGTGTTCTTTAAATCCAAATGGTGCATTAGGTATTTAATAAAATCTTAATGATGTACGTTTTGTTTTATCTGACCCATTTATTATCATTCCCATTTAAAAATAATACAAATTTCAAGGTTTTTTTTTTGCAAAATTGTTTTTCAAAGTCTAACCGAACAGGTTTAAACACCACTCATATGAGTTAGGACTTGCATCCAGTGGTGATAAATACGGAATCTGATTTTTATATTGGGTCGCCCTCTATGTATCTTGTACGTGAACCGGACTCATGATCTATCTCCATACGAGTTAGAACAGCTCTAGATAATATGAATTTGCAAGGCACAATACGTTTGCTAGTTTAAAAAAAAAGGAGATACGGGCCTGCAAGTATCCTAGCCTCCCGGGAGAAGAAGTAGAGCCACCGGGCAGTTAGGCCTGTTAGCCCACCGAAACCTAAAGGAAGATGTGATCCGGCCCACAAACACTTCCTGGCCCGGGGCGGCACACGTGGCAAACCAGGGGCGGCACGGACAGGGAGAAATTTGTATATTTTAATCTTTTTTAATCAATATTTCAATAATAATCGTGTCTAATTTTTTTTCCAGATCTAACCCGCTGGCGTGACCAAATAATACTGTCGCGCCATATGCGTTGGCGCGGCAAGATATGCCTCATTGGACGACGTTTCTGACATGAAAAACCTCGTCGCGCCACTTCCGTTGGCGTGACAGTGTTGTCTTGTCGCACCACCGAGAGTGGTGCGACAAGACTAAAGTTTAAAAAATTCATAACTCTTCGATACGACGTCGGATGAAGATGATTTATATATAAAAATTGTAGAGCTCGATGAGATCTACAACTTTCTTATTTTGAGTTTTTTTATTTGAAAACGTTAAGATGCTAAAAAAATAATATAAAATTTCAGCAACATAATAACATCATACTAGCACTTGTCACAATAAAAAAAATATCTTTTTTGTATGGTGTCAAATGAAATACTTTTTATATCAAAGTTGTAGCTCCTAATAAGATCTACAACTTTATAGTTTTGAGTTTTTATATTTGATGTTGTTAAGACGCTCGAGAAAATAGTTTAAAGTTTCAGCAACATGTTAGTTGTGCACGAGAACTTCTTGCCTCACGAAAATTATATTTTTCTTGCACCGTGTCAAACGAAGATACATTTTATATCAAATTTGTAGCATTCGATGAGATCTACAAGTTTTTTGTTTTGATGTTTTTCATTTGAAATCCTTAAATTTTTCGTTTTGAAGTTTTTCATTAGTGATTAATATGCCTCTTAAATTTTGTATTATTTTCTCTTCAGCATTCTAACAATCTCAAATGTTAAACTTCAAAACTAAAAATTTTAGACTTTATTGATAGCCACAACTTTGATATAAAAGATATCTTCGTTTGACACCTTTCAAAAAAAATATGACTTTCGTGAGGCGAGAAACCCTCATGTATGACTAATAACATGCTGCTTAAACTTTATATTATTTCCTCGAGCATCTTAATAATCTTAAATGTAAAACCTTAAAACTATAAAGTTGTATATCTCATTGAAGGCTACAACTTTGATATAAAAAGTATCTTCATTTGACATCATTTAAAAAAGAAATTATTTTTCTAATGCGACAAGCGCAAGTACGTGATTATTATGCTGCTGAAATTTTATATTATTTTTTAAACATCTTAACTTTCTTATGTGAAAAAAAACTCAAAACTAGAAAGCTGTAGATCTCATCGAGCTCTACAATTTTCATATAGAAATCATCTTCATCCGACGTCGTATCGAAGAGTTATGAATTTTTTAAACTTCAGTCTTATCACGCCGCTTCCGGTGGCACGACAAGACAACACTGTCACGCCAAGCAAAGTGGCGCGACAGGATTTTTCCACGTAGAAAACGCCGTTGTAAGGTGGCATATGTTGCCGCGCGACATCGTTATTTGGTCAAGCGGAACCGACGTTAGATCTTAGAAAAAAAAGTTAAACGCGATTATTATTAAAATATTAATTAAAAAGGATTAAATATAAAAAAAATCCCACGGACAGCGCTTGTCGTGCCGGGCAGGAGGAGGGCACAATCGCAGAGGCGTAGCCTGTAGAGAGGGTGGAGAGCAGAGGCCGGCGGACCCATGGCGACCACTCTTTCGTTATCCTCTCCCCTCTTCCTCGGAGCTCCGGCCAGAGGTAAACTGCTCCTTCCCTCCACGATCTCCTCTCTCACTCTCACCCGATCCGCCCCTCGCCTCGCCGTCCTGGTACTGTTTCCAGCGTAGACGGAATTTCAGCTTCACAGAGTCCCCGGACCCCGGCTGATTTAATTAACTACGCAACAAATGGCACGCTCCCTTTTGGTACAGATGAATATGTGCTAAGTTCGTGCAGTTTGTTCAGCATAGTGCATAGTAGTAGCGGTGGCTATCATTTCTGGCAAAAGCCTGCATATCTTATGCATCTGCTAGCTGTGTTCATCGTATCTTGAGGATTAGTGCTGTGAGGAAATTGTAATTGGTTAGCAGAGAAAAAAAAATCGGTTGGGATACATTTCCAGCTTATGATTTGGTTTGTTTTGAATCCTGCAGCTAGAAATGCAATTTCGTATGGAGTGGCTTCGGCTAGTATATCACCGAGCACTGTAAATGTGCTAGGCAAGGGCTACATGAGTAGGGTTCGTGACCGGAAGCAACAGCGACGAATGGCAATAGTATCTATGGTTGGTCAGCGAAATTCTTAGTGCAGCCTCCATTTCTCAGTACCTCCTCTTCTAGTGTGATTCTGCTTTATAAAATGTCCTTTGCATGATCTAGGTTGTTCAGTGACACGAAAGTGCTAGGCATGTTCACTTAATGGTTAATTTCTTTATTAGCAGTATATCATAAAAGCAAAGGAAATGAGTGATGGTCTGTGCATTACAAAATTCAAAGGAGAAAATGGAAATTTTAAGCTTATCTTAACTCTGCATATTCCCTGTCTCTCTCTCACTGGTTGCCTATGTACTCCATAACAGGGACGGAGTAGGTCCCTTTGTTGGGGTCAGCTGGCCCCTATGATTTTTAGCAAAATCAGTGGGAAAACACTGTTACACTGCTTAACCTGACATGCATATTTCTAGTCTCCTTTTCAAACTTCATACTCATATAAATCCATGCCACACCTGTTGATTAAACTAATTTCACATAGTGATAATATATGAGTGTTCTTATAAAGGGTTCTGGAAAAGTAAAATTTCTCCATGACTTCATTGCAAGTTTGCTACATAGAAATTATGTTACGAGATCGTTCTTTACAAGTCAATTTAGTTTGCAACTTGTTTGATCAGGTATCCTTCTTTCTAGCTTGGAAGGAAGAAGTCAACGGCCAAAGAAACAGTTGTCCCGGACCCCGACTATAGGTTACCAATTGCTATACTTGGTGAGCTCTAAAGTTAGTAAGTAAAACATCTCTTAACATGTAATTTTGCATAAATAGAAGAAGATGGCATGGGTTTAGCATGGTTATTAAGGTATTTAATAACAGCTATTGTCCATATGCAGGGATTGCTAGTGGTTTTGCATATGCAGACAATCTTCTAGCTGCTGCACCTGTAGGACTGCTGGGGCTTCTTCTTTTGTTCCAGGTCAGCATACCCTAAACAGGCTGCTTTTGGAGTTTAAAACATCTGTTCGAGTCGATGATTATTACATAATCATTAGAGGATTCTATTCTTTTCTGCAATAGCATCTGCAAGTTAGCTCATGGAGCATATAAATATTGGATTGGATGACATATTAGCTTTTTTCTCGAACATGTGGGAGAGTTGTGTATCATTAGACTAAGAAGAGAAGAAAAGGGTGAGAACCCGCACAAACCAACTCACACACACTCACTCTAGAGAGAGCTACATGCAACAGTAGCGCCTTCACCCTAAGTAAAAACGACCTCGACCTAACAAAACTCAGTTCAACATCGGCATGAGGGCAAGGAGGAATGAAATGCCTCTAGCCCCGGCAAAACTCCAAATATGGAGATCCTCACTAGCGAGCATAAGCACTCTAGCTATATTAGGTGAGAAACCCTCAAAAGACTTTTCTTAAGTGGTTTTCTCACTCCATCAATGATTTTATCCCACCAGTCCACAAGACATTCGTCCCCATTCTGTGGTGCAACGCTCTGTAGGCCAACTCTTTGTAACAATTTAAACCAGAGGATGACATATTATCAGAGAATTCTACTCTTTTCAAGAAGAGCATCTGCAAGTTAAATAATGGAGCATATAGATAGTGCTGTTTTCGAGGGCATATATTACAGCATTCCAATTCAAACCAAATTCTCTACTGAAGAATGTGAAGATCTGTTTTTTTCCCTATTATTTGTGCAGATGTTGAGGCGTTTCTCATTCCTGCTAAGCAACATATTTATTCAACTTAGCACCCCTGATTGTATCACTGTTAAAGATCAATAAAAGGAAATTGATATATTCTGAGTCCTCTGTGTCTGTTTTTAACTATGATTAAGTCCTTTTCTCTGCATTCTTTCTCTGCAGACTACAAGAGTGAGGTTTGTCTTTGATAATGAGGCCCTGGTTCGTACCCTTTACTTTTCTTGAGAGTAAACTTAACATCAGAGAGCATGCCAGTCAACTCATGAAAATGCTTCTAGAACTGTTTGCTGGATTGCATGATGAGAGTACATGCACAGAATGTTTTTTGGGGACAAAAAGTAGATGGACCAATTTGTGTAACCATGTTGTTCTTCCTCGGACCCTGGCACTACCGCCTCTGTTGTGTTAAAGGGGCTACTTAGTGCTGCCCTTCACAGGATGGTGCAGTGCATCGTGGCTTCTTCCCAACCGTTTGTACTTCACAGCTTCATTCTCTACATTGAGTGGCAGAGCTCCTGCCTTTTCCGTAAAAAAAATACTAGATGATGAGTAGTCCATTATCTGAACTCAATATTTGGCTCTTTGCATATGAAATGCTGTAAATACCTGTTTTTTTCATAATGTCAATTCATTAGCTTTTGTCATATAGGAGGTGAAAGTTGGAGACCAGCTGCAGGAGTCAGGTGAAAATGTATTTGTCGGCGGCAAGAACCGATGGAAGTACACAGACCGGCCTGTTAATCCTTTTAAGTCCTGTCAGTTTTCTTTATCATGATAAGTCTGTTCAAAATCTAATAATCCAAGACATGCGTAGGTATTCAACGTTTGTAAATTGGGAACTATGGTGGCCACAATTCCCTATCTTGGTTTACTTCAAGGAGACGCAAACAAAGCCCGAAGGACAAGTCCACTTCTTCCCTGTGATATTCGTAAGTTCTTCAATTTTTACCCAGAACAAGTTTGTTTTTCGATACCACGGTATTCAACCAATGCTATGACACAGAATGGTCGACAATTATACGATGTCATGGTGGAGCGTGCTGGACCCTCGAAGACGAGCGGCCCTAAATAGTGCCACTGAGGTTCCCTCGTGACAATGACATGAGCTCCATGTCTTGTATGGCATCAGCTGACTCTCCATGAAGCACAGCAGCAGAGGCTCATGGCTTGGATCCTTGGACAATATTCCTTCCTGATGTTGATGTGTAGCGTGCGCTTCCCTTCAAGAAGAAGGTCGTATATATATAGCATCTTCAGTAGGTATATATATACTAGAAACTAATGCAATGCAACTTTTTCTTCTGCAACTATGATAAAGCAAGCCTGTGCGAGGAACTTTTGGATGCTGCCAATGAATTGGGTTAACGGAATTGAGTTTCCAAATCCAGTGACATGCTGAAATAGTATTCGCATGTGATTCAGTTCCCATACGTCTGGATGTCTTTGGTCATCGCAAATCAACGTTCGTACATCGTCCATCGTCTTCCCTTGGCCGGCGAGGCCCTCCAATCCTCCATGCCTCGGCTCTACCCTCCACCCCCATCAGCCTTTGCCCCTTGGCTCGGCGACTCCCGCCCAAAGAGGAGCACTGATGAAAGGGATCTGATTTTGCTGGTAGTTCAAAATTTTAAAAATTTTAAAACGTTCATTAGAAAGAAGAAATAATCAAAACATTTGATAGGATTCTAATATGATTATAAGTAGAAACAACCATAACCAATCGCACTTTAATTACTTTGTTTTTTTTAACTATTACTAGGTAGCGTGCCCGTGCGTTGCTACGGGATAGCTAACATTTTGTACTAAAAACATACGGATCGCACGATAAGATAACAATACTGTAAAAATTAAATATCAACGTTAAAGTGATATTTAATCCAAAAAGCAAAGTTTATGAATTTAACACAGTCACGGAGTGTGCGACGTCGCAGGCTCATAAACTCTACTTTATAGATATTTCCGTGATGCGGCTAAGATAATGTTTTATCAGCCTGTTCGTTTGGCTGGGCTAGTTCATTGCTGGTTCGTGAAGAAGTACTGCTGGCTGGTTTGTGTGAGGGAAAAATACTGTTCCGACCGGAAATTTACGATCGTTTCACCCCAGCCGAACAGGCTGCTAATTGGCAGGAAGAAATCTTTAATATCCATTTTTTTCGTGCTCACAAATTAATGACCCTGGTGCAACAATGAAAAATACAAAGGAGCTATCCTCGTGAATGCGCGGAACCAACGCCACTACGATCGTGCCATCCCACGACCACTGGTATGGTGTTGTTTAGCACTATTGTTCACTATTATCGCTAACTTGCTTCGTTGGTTTTATTCAAGTAATTTATGTTTGTAATTATGCAGGTGCTAATTCGGTTGATCCCACATTGGCACATAAGAAAACTGGGGAAAGTCGACAAAACTCATGGTTTTGAGAACATACACGTGTAATAGTTATGAATAGTTACAAAACGAAATATTATGAACAAAACATACAAAGTGTCATTTTTATAACAATAATATAACACATGTTCAATTTTCATTATGCCATCACACAACTGTATATACAACATCTTCGTGTAGAGTCTGATAAACCATTTAAAAATACCTAGGAACAGCAACAAATATGGCATTAGTGAGATATTATTTGTACAATATAAATTGAATGGAAAAAATACGTTGTATGCGTTAGTAATGTTCTGTTACCTCGCCTATGGCGTTAGAACCTCCTTAAATACAATATTCTTCATGAAAGTTCCATCCGCTATTGAGGTCTTCTTATCCTTATCTTTTTTATTTAACGCATTCTTATTTTTTCCCCTCGGCATTCTTTTTAGCATTTTTCTTCTCTATCTTTTTTGCCTCCTCTTATGCCTCCGCATCGGACGGGACGGCAAGGATCTTAATATTGGTTCTTGACTTAGCTCTAGACATCGCAACGTACAACTGACCGTGAGAGAACACCGGTGCGGGTAGGTACACACCCAAGTTCGGGATAGTTTGGCCCTGTGACTTGTTGACCGTCATGGCAAAGCTCAGCCTGATAGGAAATTGCTTCCTCTTAAACTGGAACGGGAACATCTCGTCATCAGAACGGGCATAGCGGTATTCGAGGAAGGAATACCCGCTTCCCAGCATGCTGCCCCACCACGATTTCAGCGTCGATTGTATTTCTTCGGAACCCCCGCACCACCAGCCTTGTACCGTTGCATAGCCCATTGGCAAGGTCAATATTCCTAAGCAATATGACAAGACACCCGAGCTTGAGCTTCAAGACGTGTGGAGGTAGCCCGTTGGGGTCAAACTGTTAAGAAACTCCGATGGATAGTAGTTACGTGGATCATCTACCGCGGAGTCAAAACTGTGATACACCGTCTCGCCGCCCTGGAACATATCAATCATTTTCATATTGATCATGTCCACCCAATCGTTACGTGTAGATAAAATCGATCTGGTGGTGATGTAGTCTTTGTCCGCCATGTTTGCATTTAGATTTGGAAAGATGATGTCGATCAATGTATGAAGATCTTTCTCGGCATCTCCAGAGTATGGGACACATATCTCGTCTGGAATACGTACATTGCCATCTCCGTTAACCTCTTCCGTTCCACCACCAATGCGCAATAGATAATCTACAAACCACGGGTCACTCTGAGCCCTCATGTTGCGGGCGAGCTTTAGGTGGCGCATGGATTCCCAAAGATACGACCTTCGTAGAGAAGCACCGACTATTTGAGCTCTGGATCCTTTCCGCACAACAGGGAGGACATGTCTGAAATCCCCACCAAGGACAACAGTCTTTTCACCAAACAGTAGGATTGACCGGCCTATTATATCCCGTAGGCTGTTGTCTAGTGCTTCCACATTTTGTCTCTTTGTCGTAGATGCCTCGTCCCAAATTATGAGAGCTGCTTGCTGCAGCAACTTGACAGTACCACTCTGTTTCGTCATAAAAATAAAGCTCGAGGTGTCTCTTTTCGACACCATCCTCTTTACCAAATGATCGTATGTTATGGTAAATCTGGCCATGGGCACGGAATGTGTAGACACCGTAGATTCGCATGTTAGTGGTCACACGATCTAGGTGGCAGTACAGAGAAGTGAAAGAGAAGTGGCCATTGAAATATCTGATGTTTGCATGAAAGTGCCTATCATCAGCGTCCGAGGTTGACCACAACCTCATGAGCTCTGGTGGTGTCTCAGGAGTTGAAAGATGAATCTTTCCACCCCCGACTTCATTTCAGGGATGCACACAGAAACAATTAAATGACAATATTATTTCATAGTTCAAGTTTTACACAATTTTTTAGGGCAACAAGTTTCATGCATCTGTTAAATAACAAGGCATAATAAAGTTATGTCTCGTCTAAACCATTGACGACACAAGAAAAAATCATTTGAAGCTACGTAGTGAAAAGAACAACACTTTATGCATGCAACTCATATCCAAATCACCCAAATATAAATCATCTCGCTGGCACTTTCGCCCCCACCACCTGAATGACATATTTATGCTCAGTACATCAACACTGTCCTCACAGTATTATGACTGCACCATCTGGCCGAAAAATCATATCTATCTTCACCAAAAAAAGTGTCTGCACACTCCTATCGATTTTGACACAAACATTATTAACTGAAGGTACAATTTGTCTTTGCATTACCAACATAAGAGAAAGAACAGAGAACACATACTTCTTCTGATATAAACCGAACATGTCATTGCCATGTATCGGGTTGTATTACACAGGGTATGTTGTGAAGGTTTCGCACCTTCAAAAGGGCAACGTTGATAAAATAAAATATGAAGCCCAAAAAATAAAAATGTTTACCAACATGCCCGAAAATAAAAATATCAAGCACCTGCATAGCAACATATATTCAAGAGTGATAAAATGGTTTGAGTATACCCACCGTTAATCACCAGTTCAAGATGTCTTTATAAACAATATTCTTGGTGCTCTTCCCTGTAGGATCAAATTCTTCTTTTGGTTTAGCCACATATCATATTCTTTCAAGCTGAATATTGGGATTCCAAGCATAAATTACTGAGTTTACACTCATGTCAAACATGTTAGCGGTCTCTATGTGCTTCATATTTTAGGACTCTGCATATTGATTATCAATTTTTCATCATGGGATTTCAGGGAAACTCTGATGGAGACTGAGGGATGAAGGGTTAAATCATCATGGCTTAGATATCTATTTATAAATTATAACTGCAGTGTGTTTTCAAT